AGAAAGTGATTTTTGTATTTTACAGTCCCAAAATGTACGTGTAGTGGGGAAAAAATCAAACCTCAAAAAGTACACCAAAGTGACTAGATTAATTCTGACACAGTTCCTATAAAGTCATTGCATTGGAGTGTATCTAAAGTGCAAACTCAAAGATGTGCGACTTTTGACAAAGACTGTGTTTTTTTTGCATTTTTTTTTGTGCATGGTTCTCTGTACTAGGTGAAGGTGGTGGATAAGGCTCTACAGGAGCCTGGATGCAAGCCAAGGCGCGGGCAAGCCAGGCAGTGTCTCCCCTGCCCACTCTACCAGACAGAACTGAGGGGCAGCCTCAGCCAGCCCTGCTCCAAACACTCTGCACCACCGCCCGCAGCAGCACGAGTGACACCGCTACATTTCCTGAGGAAGGGAACTTCACTCAGTGATTAACGTCCAGGCTTCCCTGAAGTTAATGAGACAGGATTTCAATTTTAAATAAGTAAGGGTATCTGGCCATTAACCTCTTTTGCTCGCAGTCATGCTTGTAAAGTGAGAGTAATGGAATTTCTCTGGCTCCATGGGATGATGTATGGTGGGGCATTAACATCCGTGCAGCACCGAGATGATCGGGGGTGCCATGAAAGGCAGGTACTTAACTTCCTACCTTAAGCGCAAGGTAGAGACCTTGAGTCAACTGCTCTTTGTTAAAGTGCTGATTCTTTCATGTATTACAGCAGCAAAACATGAGAAAAAGGAACATTAATTAATAAAAAATGCACCACAGACACCGTATCACTAAGAAAGCCAATAACTTTACTGATTTGTCTGCAAAATACAAATTATACCTTATTTTCAGTAGGAGAATCTTGAAAATTTCCCTTTTTTGTTCACTACAGACAGCTAAATTATCTCCCTTGAGATACACAGATGTGGTTTAACTTAGTTATAACATCTTGTCCTCTAGTGGCGACAAAGTCCAGCTTATGCCGCTGTGAGCCTCTATTTTAATATTTGTTGCAAATGCTTGCATGCCCCCATTTACAAGCTATTTTGTAATGATCATTGTTTTATGGAAACAAATTCCCAGGAAAAAAAGAAAAAGAAAAAAGAAAACAGGATACAACAAACCATCTGAAGCAATCCAAGTGTAATACCTGTGGTAACCCAGGTCTGCCATTAGTCACTCCACGAAAGACTCTGGTACTTCATTTTTTTATTTTTTAAATTAGTTACTAAACTGACCTCTTTGAATCAAACTGAGGTATGGATCAGTCTGAGGTAGGAGCAGGGAAGGTAAAAATGCAACATCTGTTTATGCAAATAATCAAATGGATACTTTTCATGCAGAAGGTCTGAGGCTCAAAGCTTGGATTGCTCCACATCTTTGGTTAAAATATATTAACAAAAGCCTTTTATTACATCTACAGTCTGAAGCATTCTAACAGATACCAATCTTCCATCAGTCCTTCGAGAGACCTGTAGTGGCAGGAAATTAATGCCAAATAACTGACGACATCACAGCAGATGGCACAAACAGGAACAGATGAAATATGCCATGTTTAGGCAACAGCCTTTATTGAGGTTTCAAGTGGCTTTTAAAAAATTACAAAGCATTTACCTTCAAGGCGAAGGAAAAAGGAAAACAAAACAGCTTTGTTAGGACTATAGATAGAAGAGGGTATAAAGGATAACACATACAATACAAAAGGGTTGACATCCTGAAAACAGTCTAGGAGATCTTTAATTCTTATGTTAGCTTTACCTAAAAAAGATCTGAGGATAACAGATATTCTTATATTATTCATTAAAAATTGCTAAATTCTTCTTTTGGGATAAATATAAGCCATTTCGTTATAAAACACAACTTTTGAAAAACATGGAAATGATAAAAGCTTTCCTGTGAATGGCTCAATTCATACAACATACAGATTGTGCAGATCGGGTATAATCATGTAATCGTCACCAGCAATTAGACACTAAGTGACAACATCTTTTAATAGAGCATTAACATAGCTGTAACAATGTTTGAAGATGTCTCGAATGCCACTTCTGGTGTTTGAACTTGCAATTAAGAATGTTGCCTAAAACGGTAAGGTACAGATAAAGGAACAGAGAAAGGTAGACACTTATAGTTTACAGAAAGTGACTTCACAATCAAAGTTGTGCTTCTTTTCACTATATCAGTTTACAAATATGCATTATCTCCCACTCTCTTGCCACCATATGTTAGTATGTTATATTAGTATGTTAGTAGATACCTCAGTAGCAGGAACAAGAGAGATGACTGTCATCCATTTTCATGTGATTCTGCTTGTGTTTGTATAAAAACCATTGTCAGAATTAATATAAATTGCCCAGGCAATACTTTTTACGCTGCTTTCTGCTTAGTTACTTGCAATAATGTATTACACCGCATGTCTCTTAAGAATGCTAATTTTCCTTTCTCCTGTGTTGCTGAGGCAAATTGCAAGGTAAACTATTAATATGGCTATTCTTCATATTTCAATAAACTGACTCCCCCACCCCCACTGACAAGTTTCTACTACAATACTGATAAAGTTGCACTTTTTTTTTATTGAAATGACAAGGTACATTTGTGATATAGTTGCATATTTTTGACACACCAAAGTTTAAAATTCTCAGAAAGAGAATATACGTTTATCTGAAGGTGAAGAAAGTGGTTTTGAAAAAAGTTTTGTGTTTTAAAATTAACTATAGGCTCCATTCTCAATTTAAAAAAAAACAACCCATGTGTATCTTTTTCTTCACCCTGCGGATCGCTATGTGAGAGAAGATGGATGCATGAGGAGCACAGTATTCTGCTTAAAGAGTTCCCAAATTATGCACTAGCCCCTGCATGACTGAGAGTGTCCTGTTAGGCAGGCATATGTGAGGGGCAGTAAGGGAAAAGTGGAGGTTATAATGCACACTGTAGCCTGTTTGGTGGCAGCCACTAAAGAGAGGTAGACTCTGCCACTGAGCACTGCATAGCAGCTGCAGGTGGAGATGGGAAATAGAGGGCGTATTTCCTGTAACAGCATCTTCTGTGGGTATTGCTGTTTAGCTCTTGCAGCTCTGTCCTTCATCATAGTGTCAACGTACATAGGTGAGAGTTGGAACACCTCTTGGAAAAGGGGAAATATTATCAGGTTTACTATGGCACTAACGTTTTGTTGGAACATTGTTTCCCTCCAACAAAAAAGATTAAACTGAATATACCATTTTCTTCTAATAAGCAAAAGGGACAAAGAGAAAGTTAAAACAAATGATCTATTCCTTCTGCTTAGGCGATTTTATTCAAAGGAACAGTATGAGGCAGGAGAGAATGTGGATACCAGATGCTGATGCAGACCTTGCTGGGGTGTAACACACAGGGATCACTGTTCAACAGTGTTCCCCTGTGGGCTAACATGACCACCAAGGTCCAGGAAAAAAGGGTGATCTGATGGCCAGTGTTGGTTGCGTAAAGTAAATCTACTTCTGAATAGCCCTTTAATCGATAATCTCTAAAATTTTCAAATCTGTGAGAGAAGGGAGTCATCTTTATAGTAGGTATGTTGGTGCCAATCCCTCACTTTTTACTCTTTCTTCCACTTCTGGAAATATTCACCTGCCCTCACATGTCTGACAGCCATAAAAGCTGTACATCCCCTTCTAACAGGCAGAATATCAGCTTCATTAATGAGAAAGGGCCAAAGGATGCTGCTTTGCCATTTAACCCGTGAAAAACTATAAGATACGCAGGATGCAAGTAATAGAAGGGCCCTCAACTTGTTACAATGCACAAAACAGCGTGAAAGAACTAATCAGTATATACAATGGATGGCAGTTCACCCAACTGATTGTAAAATGTTGTATTAAAAGGATTCAGGTTGTTACACCATGGGTAAATTCTAAGCTTTTACAGATCAGTCTTTCAACAGCTGACTCGGATCTGTAAAACGTATGCCCAGTAAAAGAAAACTGAAAGAAAACAGTTAAATGTGCAACTGCACAAATATAATCCCCCACTATTAAGATAACAAAAACTTTTGCTATTACCATAATTATTATATATATTAGAAAGCTATACACAAGCATGTTAATTTCACAGATTTTTTAAAAGATTCTTAATATTTTATATAATTAGAAATACACATTTCAAAAACAAAACTTCTGCAAAGAGAAAACAGTTATCTTAGTTAGCAAAGCATGGAGTTCTTCATGGCTTAGGGTAGTGCTTTCTATACAAAAAGTCCTCTCCAGGACTGTTTAAAAGATTAGCAAAGCTATCAAGGAAAAAAGAACACATTTTGGCTTAAGGAAACTACAAAAGCCACAAATGCTTTGCAAACTCTGTCTTACTTTTTAATATGAAAATAAGCAAAATGTAATGTACATATTTTTATATTTTTTATTAAATAAAGTGATGCAGACCCAGATTTTTTTTTAAATTAAATATGTTAGCCCTCAAACTCAACATTTTTACAAGTATGGTCCTCTTTAAATGTCTTTGATCCTTTTAAGTGAGTGCCATACTCTACTGATATGCCTGCATGTTTGTGAGCATTTTAGGTATGTTAGGTGACCCAGTCTCTTGCTAGCATTGATTCACGGCCACCCAACGGTTGGGTCTGTCAAAACATCTGTACATTTTTCTATATGTTGCATAACAGCTGCTTTCTCTCTCAGTAAAGATCTGCCACTTCTGGCAAATGTTTTCATTTTGTCTATTTACATGTAAATACGTTGAACCTGCAACATGACACTATCTATTGTAACATACATTTTGCAAGGGAGCACAACAGTGAAGTGAGCCTTAAAATCTATTTTGTACAAATGTTCTGTTGTACAACTCAAGTGCTAAGTTTATCTCAGCATTTCTGGTTATCCTTATACTGTATCACTGAGGCAATTTAAAAGTACTTTTACAAAACAGAGTACCTGACATTTTTTTCCCCACACACAGCACATATAATGCATATCGACCCTCCCCCCCCATTAAGGTATAGCACACACACACTGCAAGAAAAAAAAATCTAATAGGTAATAATGTTATCATGTCGCCCATCCTTCAGAGAGCCGCATGCGCTTGACAGAGGGGCTTTCCCTTTCGTCCGGCGAAGGTCTGGTGAGTCCAATGGGGGAGTGGAATTCGTTGCGGTGATCTTCTCGGTCGCTTCCGTCATACGAACTGCTACAGCTGCTCAGACTGTCAACGGGAGATCTCCCCGCCTCGTGGCGCGTGTGCTGTGGGTATCTCGAGGGGGTGGTGGTACGGTCTCTAGGAGGAGAAACAGGTTCTGACTTGATGTTGAGGCTTTGAGTAGAAGGCAGGGAGAGATTTGTACTCTGAGATAAATGAGTGCTAGTGCAAGCTCTGTAGGAGGAAAGGAAACCCAGTTACAGACTGAGGAGGCATGGAGCCCCCAGAAATGCACAAACACTCATACAAAACATCAGTGGAAAGGCTCACGCAGTACCAGTGCATGTGGAGAGTATGAGCACTGTTTGCTGGGGATATGGAGAAAAAATTTGGAGAGATGAAAGCACCTGATCAGGCACCTCTGCTATACCCTGGGATTGAAAGAAAGTCAACAAAGTATTTCTCTCTCTCTCTCTTTTTTTTTTCAAATTAATAACCTGCCAAAAATGATTTGATGAGTCGTGGAAAGTGTCAGAGGAATATACTGATTTGCCCAATTCAGGGAATATTTTGAACATCAAGAGGAAGCGTCACTCTGCAGCTTTTCACATGGCAAGCTATGTACCTATTCTAAATTCATGTTCTTTATGTGTGTTTTTGTGGGCAGGCAGCGACAGAAGAAAGCTGAAGGCAGAGGGGAGAGAGAGGACTGAGAGTGCACATTATCTCCAGGAGAGAAAATGTGATCACTTGCATCTGAAGAATATTTTACACAAAGGCACCACCTACTGGTAAAACCTGACTTTTTAGTATTACAGTTCTCAATATGTAATTCCTATTCTGTTCTTTGATGTTTTAGTGCTGGGACCACTTATGAGGCTGAAGTTTGAGTCTAATCTGTGTCTAAGACACAGTTTCAAGGTTTCTAACAGTAGGGTTTTACACAGGGAGAGACTGAAGCTAGTAGGGGCAACAGGCCACTCTGCTACCAAAGACCAAAGGGGTGTGCAGACATTTTTACAGCAAGCAGAAGACATTTGGGGATTTGGAAGTATGTTTGAGCTTGTAGAATAAATGGTTAAGTTCAGACATGGTCATTTCTATTTACTAAAATATTACACTTTTTTTGATACCTCATTGACTGAGTCGAACTTTTACTCAAGCAAAATCTACTACAATAACTTTGGAAAAAGGCAAAACGCTGTTTTCTTTTGACAAATTCATACTTGAAATTATATGGCTTCACAATTGAATGATACCAACTGCTTTTATCACTGATCGTTGCAATGTTCAATAATGTATGGATCTTGTCAGTCAACAGAGAAAACACCAATACCTCCAATTGCTTTCACCCTTCTTTTGGATACAGAACAGTTTGTCAAAATTTGCAGTAATCCCTTTCATAGGTCAGAATTAGAGAGTAACAGCACTCATCGTAGAAAACACAAAATATTTTTGGCAAGCAGGACTTTTTTTTTTTTGCTTTTCTAGATATTAAGTAAGCACACATAAGAAACTGTAATATCAAACTCGATCATTCCAATCTAGTGAAACATTCTACTCTTTTGTTGAAAACTTATTGAAACAAAGCCAACAAGAATACATTCTTGGCTTTTGTTTTGCTTTTCATTTCCAGTGATTTTATTTTTCATTTACTTGGGAGATACTAGGACTTTACCTGGGAAAAAAAAAGGCTGCTAGTTTAGCATATATGATGGGATTCAGGACTTTAGGTGCCAAACTTACAACTGAACCTGAAAGTCCATAATACAGGATGGTGGAACCTGAGAATTTGGTTTTGAAGTGTTTCATATGAGTTGGTGACATGCCACTTAGCAACATCTAAGAACTTACAAATCCATGCTAGTTAAAACAACCAGATTCAGTCAAATTTGCTCATATGGAACATACTTGACTTTACATGCAGTCTATTCTGTTACAGCCCCCAGAGGAACAAATCCAGAGCAACAAGCTGCATTTTCCAAGAAACACAGTCAGTATTGTTACATTACAATGATACGTTTTAAAATGTGTTTCAAAAGTGAGTATGAAAATGCATCTCTATAGATTTTTCTTTAGATTCTTTGAGATTCATTACTGAGGTTATTTACATAACTTGCATATGAATTTGCAGTCTTAAGAAATACTGCAGGTTGGCCTGCAACTGGAACATATTTTTTTGTAAATTGAAAAAATCATTTCAGACAGGACATTTTTGGAGTTTAAAACAGTATATTAAGGCAATTGATATGAATCATAATTCAAAATATTCATTTAATTAAAAAAATCAATTTGTGCTAGAATTATTTCCAAAATGAGTTCCAAAATGAGGTATGGTGACTGTAATTTACATTATTTGGTTAAAATTTCTGAAACAATTTACCAAATTTCATGTAAGCTGATAAAGCTAATTATGGTAAGGCTAATAAACCTATTGTTACACATCAGTGAGAATGGTAAAAGAGTACTTACTTAGCTGCAGTCTTTAGTCTTGTATTCTAAATAGAAGATTGATCTCTATTTAGAATGGAAGCTTTCTATATTATAAAAAAATGCAGATATCTTTTTCCTACTCGATTCTCTCTGTGTTTGAGTGTGGATACAGCTAGTTCTGTATATTTTTTACACAGTTGCTTCATATAAATATGTAATCATTGTGGAGGCATTTTGTCATTTGAAATACACTGTAAGTTCACTGAAAACCAGATGGGTTTTGAATATGGTAAGTCCATGGAGAAAATAAAGCAAATGAAAGGATTGAGTATAATTATAAACACTTAATAAGTGCCACAGTCTGCTCACATTAATGTGATCACTTTTCCTCATACATTGTACAGAAACATTTCATTTTATGGGGACAATGAGGAATAGTAAAGTTTTAATTTTACACAGCAGTTCATATTCAGATCAGTATGAGTGAAGATCTCATGATTATTTAGAATAGAGCAACCACAAGGCAGGAATACTGGTTCCTATCTGGGTTCAACATGATGCATCTGCCTGGCTCTGTTGTCTAACAAGTACGATGCAAGTCAGGATGCAACAAGCTGCAAGGGGGTTTAGTTCTTGATGCCCCTGAGCTCAGATCTGCTTTGGATTCAAATCTCCAACTGGTTCTGAAGCATGCACAAATAGAAGGGCAGGTCTGACTAGGTGGCCGGTGATGACATGAACATGCATCAAATGGATTTTTATAGAGGGAGAAGGACCTCTATTGAAGGAGGAAAGAGTCTCACATATATTTTTGCACACCCACATTTGTTTCTCTAACTTAGCTTACCTTATCACTTTAAATATTTTTCTTGTTGTTCTTAAATGTATATATAGAATCACAGAAGTAACACTGGATATTTACAATAAAATTTAGTTTTGTCTATACCTTACACAACACTGGATATTTTTGACTTCTGAATAATTCACAATATCCCCTCCCTGTTTTTCTTTCAGGTAAAAGCAAAGTGGGTTTTTTTTTCCTTCTTTTTTTCAGATTTTTTGATGAATGTAAAAAAAGCTGAATAACAATTTCTGTGCCAGGACATTTTGATTAGCTTTCACACTTTTAATTTTACCCTTAAAGAATAATTTAAAACTGAACATCTCATTTACAATGGTGGCGTAAAAACATTGGCTTAATCTGAAATATTTTAGGGTCTTATTCAGAACAAGGAGGTTGGCAAAACTAATACAAATTCACAAAATATGATGTCACTGACTCTAAATTCTTCACTTAAAAAAGGGCTCAGTGGAAAATATTTGCCCCAAACCAATTATGATTACTAGCTAATCAAAATTAATCATTGCTGATTAGTCTGCTTTTTTTGATAAGAATCACAGAACAAATCAATAGTATATATGGATTTGGGCAAATCTTTTGTTCCTTTGGGCAGTATTTTGGAGAAATTTCCCTTGTGTATGAAGTTCTATATACTGAAGATGCTTTTGATGAAATACTGATGGAATTTTTATGTTTGCCCTGATATTTGATGAAAGCCAAACTTTCACCTGTAGATGACACTTAAGTCAGAAAAGATCCTCTCTTAGACTGAGACGTATGGATGAAAAGAGTGTTTTGCATGAAATGGACTTGTGCCTGAAGTATATAAACTATTAATTTGAAAGCTAGGAATGGAATCCCCTCCTGGTTGAGTGATTAATTTCTGGTCAATTCTCTGGTCCATGTTAAATAAGCAGAAAGCCTCTCCTCTCCATAGGAGACACTGCAACAATATTCAGGCAAAAATCTCTTACATTTTGGGTGTATACGCCCTACTGCCGATGGAGAAACGTCTCGCAACTTCCACCACCTTCCAGTCTGTGACCTCACTCAGCTACGCCTCACACACTGCAGGGATTTGGGAAGTCTGTTTTATCAAATGTCTGGAGTAACTAGAGTTTTGCATGATTGTCTCATTTTTTTTCCCTGAAAATTCTAGCTCAGCTGATGCGGACTGGATATGGTCAGTGTGCTTTCATAAATGTTAAATAATCCAGAACTTAGAATAGGCTCTTTTGTATATGTAACTCAACAAGTAAAATAAAATCAAGAAATGCTTGTTATTTTCTGCATGCACAGAAGACTTCTCCAGAATTGTCAGTGAAGCAGCTTTCATACAAATCACCGTAAGAATTAATAATAAGAGTAGCCACTCAGAAAGTATTCCACCAGCCACCATCATTGCACTTTGGCTTTTTGTGATATGAATTAGAAACAGATGATGATGTGTGACATATCTGAAAAAGTATGTAGTTAGTTTAGGATATAATTTATACTTTTTTTGGGGTTAACCAAATAGCCTTATTACATTTTTTGGTACACCGCTGAAAACAATCAGCTTATTGTAAAGTTATACATTTATGTCTAATATGTGAGTTTTCGATTTATTTGAGACTTTATGTCTTTAGTTGTATAGTTAGTCTGGTGCCCCAGGAAGAGTACAAACCTCAAAAAGAAAATAAAAGAAACCTAATGGAAAAGTATTAAAGCTATTTTTTTTCTAATGCAGCAACTATTTCAGTTGCATGTTTTTACGCAGTTAGTATCTGTATAGACTTATTTATATATAAGCGAGGTTCGAAAAGTGTATGGTTCCTCTAAAACATCTGTATAGTTTTAAAAACCCCAGCCGTTTGTACATGGTAAGGAAATTACAGTAAGTTACAGAATGTGGTCAGATAAATTTGAAGGAGAATTTTGAAGTATGAGCCACATTTACAGTATTAAGCGCTCTCAGATTATGGCAAATGTCCCGTAAAAATCAGTGCACATATGCAAAACACCTCTTTCTGAAAGAAAAAAATGTAGTTTAATTTCCGAATGTTTTTGAATTAAAATTCTACTCATGAATATACATTTTCAGTTTACCCTTTTACAATGAAAACTTTCTTAATTCAAATATGTTAGACTAAACCTGAGGCTAAGAGTGAAGTGTTAGTGGATACTTAGGATCTTACTCAATAAAATGGGAGATGCCAGGATCTTTGAAAATTATACTTTTAAAGTTTACTTGAATTAGCCAATAGGTTGCTTTTCCAATGTGATTTCCCTGTGTAAATTTCCACACTTTAAAAAATACTGAAATAATTTAATTTTTTAAATTAAATAATTTACTTTATCAATTTTGAAAAAAAATCTCAAAGTTAGCCACTAGAGGGTGCAAATACCTATCCTCCTCCTCCACATGGGCAAATCTAGGGCTGCCAGGTTGTTAGGCCTAATTATTTTTTGCTTGTATAAGACAGGTCCAAAGAAATGAAACTCACATGTCACAGCTGAGCAGATGAGAGTATGTGATTATTATGTAAGAGTAAGGTTTAATCTCAGATCAAACCGTTATGTCATTCTAATTAAAAATATTTAGAAAATTTTCAAGTTTTTTTTGTTAAAGTTTACGCTATAGTAACTGGAAATAAAAAGTATAACGGGCAAAATAAAACAGCAGCACAATACAAGTATTTGTTTTTGGCTTTAGTGATGAAATAAAGTGCTATTTAAAGAAATAAACGGTGAAACATGAGCATTAATCTTTACTATACTATTGAGAAAATACCAGGGAAACAGAATATTTCATTTTAGCTACCTGACAGGCTTTTCATGAAATATGTAGTTTCAAATCTTGGAAACTGAGCTGTTACATGCAGTAAATATGTGCTAATATGTTACCATGATGTATTGCATATTTGGGATTACTTGGAGATACCAAAGTCACTGTAGACCAATATGGTATTTTAAAGAAAGCACTGCTTACCCCAATTGACTGAGGGCAGATGGTGGCATATTATGTAGGTGTTGCTGTTGCCAGCCAGTCACAGAACCAAGATGAAGAGCACTGGCTGTATTAAACCCAGAGAGAGATGATATATCTGCACTACTCAGAGAGTATTCTAGATTTGAAAATAGAAAAGACAACAATTAAAAGAGAATTAAGGAGGAAGCAATTAAACAATAACTAGCATCATAATTCTCACATGTCACTTAATAAGCCTTTTAATTTTAATTACACCCATCATATTAAGTTGAGCTAGAAAAAGTAGACTCTCCTCTTCAGTCAACTCATTAATTTGGAAGGAAATAATGCACGAATAATTACTAATAATTACCCACTGCCCTATGGCTTTAGGAAGATGCGTTCAAGAACTAGATGAAATTATCTGTTGCATTAAGAGGATCAAGTAGTTTGTTTTAAGTCACATTTCTTATAAAAGCCACTGGAGGAAAGATATCAAGGCAGTTTTCCCTTTGAACAAAACCATCATTTCTCAACTAGCTCTGTGTCCAGTCAGTGGCAGATGCAGACTAGCTGAGTGAAGTGTGACAGCACATTGGCGTTGCGGTTTTCAGCATAGCCCAACTAACATTAGCTACCTTGCTGCGACTGAGACAGACATTTGCCTGCATCTTGCTCCTTCCCCGCTCTGCATTGTTTCTTGCCCCATACTCACCAGTACCATATGTTGTAGAAATGGCTGATGGGTATCCTCCCATTCCTTGCCCTGGGAGAGTAGGAGTTGCTACGGAAACCACAGGAGTAGCCAGTGACTGAGCAGACTGCGAGTTATTTATCCTCTGATTCTTTTAAAATAAGTAAAATAAACATATTATCGACCGGGTTTTGGTGTAGTAGCTTTCTGGGTATGTTTTAGTGCATGAGGAATACAAGCTGATACAGATTTCTAGAAATTATTCATTTAGCATGTGGCTTTTATGAACTCTGCCAACCCTATCATTTACGATCCTTCAAGAGACAAGTTGTCACCATAGCAACCCATTACATCAGTATCTCCTAGGTAACTGAGCTAGTAACAAGTGGGATTGCTTTTATTGCGGGCAGAAAAACAGATCGGGTGACAAACTGATGGAATATGTAAACTCTACTCCCATGGTTTTGCTTTCCATTCAAATGCAAAAAACAACAGCAACAACAAAACAAATAAAAAACCCACCCCCAAACTGCAAGACCCACTCCTGGATCTTCTGACTCACACAGTGGCAAGCACCACAGCAGAGCTGAACACTGGACTCTGACCAGCAGATGGTGCTCTGACTACTCCAGTTTTTCTAACGACAGAAGCTACTTCAAGGATTGAGAGGTAGCAGAGCATTTATACATTTATCTTCAAAGCACTAGATGCTGTGCTGTACAAATTGCACTAGAAAACTCTTAATTCTGTGAGTTTCAGGCTAAAACATCTGGGGAGCCACCAAAACAACATAATAAGGCAGTGTCATCTTCAAGAGCATAAGATTACATGCTAGCAAAGCAACTCTAACAGGAAAGCTCTTTTAATGTGCATTATCTCAATATGTGCAACAAGTACATGTTTGTCCTCTATACTGCTAGATTTCAGGAGTGGTGATTGGCACTCTTGTTCATAATACAGTAATGGTAAAGTTTTCCCTTTTTGTTTTACCACAACGTCATCTACAGAGACAGAAGAATTTTTTTTCATTATTAAGACAAACATCACTACCACTTACCAAAAGCAGATCAACATCCTCAGACTGAGAGCATAGGAAAGGAGCATTAAAAATTAGTGAGTGGAAGCATGTACCAGGATGCAGACATAGCATAGCATAACGAAGAGCTTCACTTGATAGGAGGAGCAAATTAAATACTTTCTGAGCCTAGCTCAGAAAAAGAGCAGTTCCTAGATGTGATCTTTGTCCTTCTGATGAGATACGTGTCTCAACTGTGACGACAATCCATCTATTTTTTAGCACGAGTCATTAGCTTAGAATTCATTATTTTTTCCACAGCCCCAGTGGCTGCAGATTATGTTGCTATACCTGGTTTTAAGAGATCTGACCATTCACAGAATCCCTTGGAAAGTATCAGTTTTAAGGACCTTGGAATAAATCATTTGATGGAGACAGTCTGTCACTGCCTTGGTTGACTTTGAGTATAGCCCTGTAGAAGACTATTTATTACTCATCCTCTTAAAAGACAGCACCACATTTATGGGGGTTTAGTTTGATATTCAAAGTTAATTTATAATGCATCGACCTAAAGTAGCCGACTTGGAAATTGTTTTAATAGCTTGTCTGTTACATAATGGAAAAATGTGTTTATAGTGTCACTGAAATTTACCATCGAGATCCTTTTTAATCAAGCCCACTTTTAATGCTAAATCACTCATGAAAGATTTACTTGCAACCACTAACCCACTTTCAGTAGGGAACTTTAAGGTACTCACACGAAACCCTAATGATTCCACCTTCTATCATAATACTCTGCTTAAATGTTGTTAATCCTGGCAGGCGATATAGCTGTCTGATGCTCCAGTTTATCCTGTTCTACCTATTTACTGCCTCTTTATTGATATCATTATAAAATTTTGCCTTTGGAGTTCAGAGGGATGGAATTTAAATTCACTTATTTGTAGTTAATTAGCCATTGGCTGAGCATCTCTGTGGCTAAATATTTAGGAAAAATATAGCGTATTAGGAATGCACAGGGTTAAATTCAGTCTTTATAACAAGTCCAGGAAAGGATCTCCCAGCTACTAGGAAAAAGAGTGCAGAAGCTTGGACTGTGCAGGACACAGTTCTTATTTTGTAACTCAATAGAAAAAAAAAAGGAGGAAATAAAAATGACTTCATAAAAGCAACCAAACAGACTCTGCCTACATCCTCAGCATGATATCAGGCCTAAAGGCTAGATAGAGACCAAGCAAGCAAGAACATGGAATGCTTTCCCACCAATTTTAGTGGGCTTAGCAGGCCCTGAAAATCTTAAATATCTGTGATCTGAATGACAGGAAAAAATAAAAAAGCTCTGAAAATGCATTACCACTGATGGCATTGTATTCTTGCTGCCAGGTGGGATAAGCACGCGGAGATCTGGTTTACGGCTGTTCATTCCCAAATTCATTGGGGGCGGAGATTTTGCTTGCACATTCTTGTTCAAGTTGCCAGGTGAGACCAGCAGACCTGGTGAGTTGCGAGGGTTGCCATACCCATTTCCTGTTTAAAAAGGAAAACAAGATACGAAAAGGAGAGAGAACAGTCGTAAGTGCAAACATTCAAAAAACTTTGAATAAAAAAAATCAAGTAAAGACTTGTGTCACACAATGTCTCTATACAGGAGAATAAAACTCATGCTGTATTTGGAACAATTGGTCTTATAATTCTTTCCTCTGTGGCAACTGGCATTTCAGGGATGTGCAGAAGTTTAACTCCATTTATAGCACTATGGTATATACCATAACATAATGTTATGGCATTCAGAGCAGGCAAGCTCTAACTTTTGCCTTACAAGAAAATTTAGAAAGTCAGACAATTGTATGTCTTTAAAAATAAAAATAACTCAAAGCTGTGCTGTGTTTTCTTGACAACTACAGAGGATTCTGACTTGCCTGACTCAGCCCTTTCCAGTTCATAATTTTGTTTTGTTTTTAAACAAAGGATGAGTACAGCAAGGCTATAATTTCCAGAAAAGGTGGGGGAGGAATAGGAAGATTCTTAAATGTTTTTGGCTCTCTTTCCCCACACTTTTTGAACTTGATTCTGTCAACAGTAAAGTCAATGGGAGCAAGAGCATGTCCTTTTTTGGAAAATGCCTCTGTACCTTCATCTTCCTTCCTCTGCTGCTTTTACAAACCCCTGTTCAGTCAGGCGGATACTTCATGTGGGTTTTTTTTTCTTTTTTTTTTTTTTTTTTTTTTTTTTCCTCCCAGAAATAGGTTTCCTACAGTCACTAAGCAATCCTGACAATTGTCTATCAATACTGACAGTGACCTGCCATCCCACTGAGACCTCCTTTTTTTCATCCATCTAATTTCATCTCCTACCCACACAAGTCTGGAAAAAGACATGATTTTTTACTGCTTGCTTGAAATTCTGTCTCTACAGGGTGAGAAGCGACACAGAAACTGCCCACTCATAGTGAGGAAAGAGTATAAACACTAATACAGAAAGAGAAAAATTTCATGTGTAAGTACCAAGGAAACAAATCTCAGGAAAGACGTTATGTTCACTTTGGTTCTTTGGAACTTAGGTTCACAGATAGCGAGCCGTGATACAACCTAAAAGTAGTGTGGGAAGAGGGGCTAGTGAGCATGGAGCAGACCTTGGAATTACAAGCCCTGGACCTGCAGGATTCCCTTTGCAGTCCCAAAGTCAGTGAAGCACTCTGTATCTCATGGTTTTTGCATGTGAAATGGGGCTATAGACCTAACGCACATAAACGTATTATGGAACCAAATTTGATGAAGTCTAGGAGCTGGCCCTAAAAATAACAGTAAATGAGAGTGAATCTTTCTGCTTTGGATATTGAATTGTGCCCAGGCGTGACATTAAATCTGAATTTTAATTTGCAAGCACATAGACTAATTGCATTTATCAAATCAACAAATTCGTGGAGAAGAGAATTGACCAAGGGCTATTATATACAAAAATATCAGCTTAGGCCCTGGAAAACCCTGACCTGTGAAAACTAGGATTGGGACACAGGGTACCACTATGTGCTTGACTCCCATAATCTGTGCACCTGCTATTAGCCACTAGTCTTGTCTGGCTTTTTTTATTCCTGTGCTTTTAATTATAAAATTATAATGATCTTTCGACTGTTTGCAAAAAGAATTAAGATGAAAACTTAAAAACACTCAGATTGCTCAGATATTAAACAAAAATATTCTTTACAGTTAATCTAATTATCATCTTACAGTCAGTGAGATAAAATGTGCTAATTAAAAAAAAAAAGTGTATTTTACACTTAGAAGCTGAAATAACTCAGCACCAAGCAAGAAGTTTCCATTTCATGTCAGTAGGCTATTTTTTAAATGAACAATTGCCTTCCACGTGGATTTGCTATATTTTAAGCTCTAATTAATTCTATGTGTTATCAGAAGTACAGGGGCATTTTAAATATATAATATTTTTTTCTAGAAACTACAGTGCCTTTTAAAAGCTGAGCATCAGTGCCTTGACAAACTGAACACTGAAAACACTAAATACTGAAAGAACAGTTATGATGTGGTAGAGAGAGAAACAGAAGAAACTGAAGCAAAATAAATTTCTCTGGTGCTGGCTTCATATTGGAGCTATTTTACCAAAAGGAAGTAAAACTGCCTTGTGAAATCTGTTGCATGACAAGCATTTTTTTTTGTGTGAAAATGAACCTGTTTGAAGAAACAATGTATTTTTTATATTTTGCAATATATGATCCAAGATATTTAAAGACACCATGCTTTGCAGTCTTCATCTATGTTTTTAAGGTCGTGATTTTTGGAAAAAAGAAACCTTTACAAGAAAGCTCTCCTGTTTTCCATAAGAGATTTATTTAATGCAATTTTCTACTAAGAATTGAGAAATAATAATGCATCCCTACCAAGTTACAGAAACATTAGTCAGACCTTCAGTATTATTTACGCTCTGATGTAAAATATTTTGAACACTGATAACCTTTCTTCCATTTACATTTCAGAACATCAAATTATTTTTAAGAACTACTGCAAGCCACCTTTCACCAGTAGATTTCTGCTGTTCATGGCACATTATGCCAGCTAGCATTTTGGAGACATATAATAACCATTCCTCCTTCCAGCCACCAAATTGTTATTCTTTTGGTATAATGTGGATTCAGGAATGAAAGACTGTGGACCTTAAACCAATGATATAGAAACCCCTCATTTGAAAATCGGGGATGAATGCATGCATGTGGTTTACAGCTATGAAGATTCTGCATTTAAACCAGCTCTTTAAACTGTATCCTCCTTACTCAGAAAGCTGTGGCTGCTCTGGGGCAGCTGTCCCACCTTCAGATAAATCCACCAAAGAGAATGGTCTCATTTACATTCAGAGGCAAAAAAAAAAAAAAAAAAAAAAAAACACAATAAACATTTCTTCATCCTATACTTTAAAATTACACTCTGCCTGGACAATTATCAATTTAGATGTGACTCTATGCAGAAAATCGCATTCCACTATCCACTTGAAAGCGCAAAAATTATATGTCATGTATGAATGGATTTCCTGATTATAGATTATGAGAAAATGAAAACCAGATGGATTTTAGAGCAAGTTGGCTTTACATTTTTATTTGGTTAAAAGTCATATTTTTGCTGGAATAGAACACTTTTAAACATTACAGATATAACTTGTAATGCATAATGAAAATAAAAACAGTAGATGCACAAGTTTTAAAGGGCATATGTCAGAATTTGTAAATTTACAGCATTTGAAATTTAAAAGTTTTCAGAGAAAATGATTTTTCCTACTGTTGTTTGTTACACCGATTTGAAAGAATAAAAATATTTTACACATAAAAGAGCTTGTTTCTAGACAGAACTAGTGGAGCAGCACGCATCATGAAATGCAGTGCCAGACTTTGTATTTGAACTAGTAGCAAAATATAAAGACAAATGCTTTCTGAGCATGGAATGCTCTTCTTGGGCATGTTCCCAGATTCTGCAATTAGGCACAAGTGCCATTGACTTTACAGGGAATTTTGTCCAAGTACAGATTGCATGATTAATCCCTATAATATCACTTATAAAACTCACACCCAGAAAAGCTATTTTTACGCACCAGTAGCTAGTCAGTTGATAAGAATTAATACAAAATATTAATCTGCTCATGGAAGGCTATTATATGAACTATGCTGCAAATTCAAATACTACTATCTTAAATATTCACTTCTGTGCTATAAAAATGTAACAGCAGGAACAGGGCGTACGTTTACAGAGAATAGGAGAAACAGCAAAGTTTAGTTCTCTTCTTTCACTGCCCATCAGTAGCACCCACACCTTACACCTAGTTTTGGTCATTCTCATGGCAGTGGTTGCAAAATGACTGCAGTTCTTGAGATTCTCCAAGACAGCGCTGAGCTGCTCTCCTGAGCATTTAAGCCTGGAACATTTCCACACTTAAAGTTAACACAAATGAGGGAGGAGTGAATAATTTATTTCCATATCCCTCAACATTCTTGAACAGTATTATCACAAGTTCAAAGTCTCAAAGTTCAAAATATTGGACACATTTTGTATTTTGATTTCTGGAATATACTTGATCCTTTTATCGTTACAAAGAAATAGAAATTCAATGAATAAATAAAACATTTGTAGTCCTAGAAAAATTAAGAGCAAGACACACAGCAAATATTTCCTGGTTTTGTTGTTTTCCTTCAGTTTAATGGTTTTCTCTCACTGACCACATGGGTTGAGAATTTAGAAGATCTTCAGGAACTAGGGATGTATACTTTCCAGTAATTTTAATAAGAAAAGAGCTTTCAAATTCTTGAAGGAATTTTGGTAAATACTAGTGGTCATTTTAAACTCTTCAAACAAGCATACGCTCTTACTTGTGGAAATTATCATAATCCTTCCAAGAAGAGTATGTTCAATACACAGCCCATAGCTTTGACATGATGATTGACCACTAAGCCTCTTAAGAGGGATGTTAGAATTAGAACGAGTCTACATAAATATGAGACCCAACTATGCTATAACTTACCCTCATCTTTAAAATACGTAAAAACAAATGAAAAAATAACGAAGGAATAATAATAGAATTTTGCTACATTTATACTCAGTTTTGTAGTCTTCACTTGATTCAGTTTCCCCCCACCTAAAAGAATGGCTATTGTACCTACTAGTAATTATTAGGTGCCTTTTCTCTTACATTGTTTATATATATGTGTGTGTGTGTGTGTGTGTGTGTGTGTATGTACAGGTTTTACTGTTTAAGACCCAAACAAAATAAACACCAACAATAACGCAATAATGCCAGTGAGTTGTACTTGTGTTCACCTAAATAGAATTTTTGAAAGAGGTAACTGAAAGTTCTTATTCACATTTTGCATGTTAGTCATTTCACAGTACATGATCTTTACTAACTGCAAACAGCAGATGAAAACCAATCTGGAAACACGCTCCCCCACAGAAAGATAATCTTTACATTAAAGTACCTGTCCATTCCCACATTACCCTGATGGACCTTCTTTACTCAATTACTGGCAGTCACCT